AGTTACCCACCTTGGGCAACTCGTCTGACCGTGGCTTCCTATTTAGCCTATTGCAGCTGAGATTGAGTACCTCGAGCTCTGCCGGCAGTCCCTTAGGCACTTGCTCCAACCCAGCAAATGACAGATCCAGGGAGTTTAGCGCGCTAGGCCAGACACACCCAGGATCCTCGGGTTTTGCAGTAGCGAGCATCGAGTTGTGGCTGAGGTCTAGGCGGTGGGGCTGCACACCAGCTGTAGCCAGAGCAGAGCACACCTCGTTGGGCGTCTGTACTCCAGCATTGCGTAGCGCTAGATCCTGGAGGACCGGGAACTTGTGGGGACAGAGGGTCGCCATCAATCCGCGTTTTCCCAGTCCAGGATTGTCAGACAGGTCTAGGGTGGTGAGGGCCGAGAAAGTGAGCACTTTGTCGCAGGAAAAATCAAGCGGGTGTGTTTGGGCAATATTCAGTACCTTGAGACCCGGCTTGAGCCAGCGCTGCAGTTCCGGGAGCCAGGCACCTCCTGTAGTCCAGGACACATTGCGAAGGCGCAAGACGGAAAGCCCAGGCCCTTGGATTCCTACAGGCTGCGGCATGGTGCCTGTTACCTCTAAATCCTCTAGAGTTAGTTCCTTGAGGCGGGAATACCCTAGCACACGCAGGGCGCCGAATAGCAGTAGAGCAGGAACCCGTGCAGCTCCAATCGTGAGCCTCCGCAAACGTAGAGCCTTGACCATGTCCATGTACTGCCGTGGGTCTGCGTCGATGTCGACACGCTTCAGAAATTGTTCCAGGCTGCGGCCGCCGCCACGGATCTCCACATCAACCGCACTTACACACAGGAAGGCGCTGGACCAGTCGGGTTGCGGTTCCGAAAAGTTGCAGGCGCAGTGGATGTCGTCCTCGTCCAACTCGCAGGGATCCGGAGTGGCTGCAGAGATATCCAGCAGCGGCAGTAGCAAAAGCAACAACCAGCGCACGCTCTCCTGGAGAGACAGCAAAAGTCAGGGAGGTCCCCGTTAGTCCCCAGAGATCCTCAGGTGCCCCCAGCTCGACCCCAAGACCGTAAACTCACCATGGTTGTTAAATCCTGAAAGCCTCTATGGCCTGAGTGGGCTCTGGGAATGGCTTTGGCGGCACTCTCCGGCTTCCAGTCCCATGCGCTTATGTATTCTGTTTGCCCCAAGAGTTTGGGCAATCCTGTGATGTCACTCCGTTTCCTCCTCTGTGAACCCTGGTCACTTCACCACATCTGTTCCTGCCAATAGCCCTACGCACTTCCCTTCTAGGAAATATTCCAAGTGAAGGTTGATGCAGGGAGAGGGGCTGAACCAGGAAGAATTCTTTGAGGGCATTTAGACACCCGGTGCCAGGCAATGCAGAATGACTCAGGCGCCCCAGGCTTGTCTGGCAGGAATGGGGAATGGATGATCCCCTGTGCCTTAAGTCTTAAGCCAGCACCTTTGCTTCCTGGTATATATTCCAGGGACTCAGTCAAATTGGTTTTCCTTACTTTTCTCTAGTCTTGGCTAATATTATCTTCTGGCCACCCAAATCCAAGTCCTTGATTTTCCTCAGATATTGTTAGACCAGGGTGCAAAGAAAAGACCACTGACTCCAATTAAAAGCAAGCTTATTATTTCGACCAGCCGGACTGCCTCTCCCAAAAAAAACCATGGGAATAAGACAGCCCTGCAGCTTTCTTGCAACCCAGCTTTTAGAAAGTTACACAAAGGGGAAGGTTATAGATAACAAAACTCTGACGAGCATAACATAAATGCTAGTTTATATTTTTGCTGGCCCAACATCAGAATTTATGAAGGTCATTAGAGCCTCAGAGAGGGTCATTTTCTGGCCACGGAAGGCCAAGATTTATGAGGCCTCACTAAAGTTTCAGAGAGGGCTGCTATTTGGTCAGGGAAAGCCAGGCATGGGTGAGTTCAAGGCACGAGCAGACATTCCAAGCAAGTTCAGAATTTGCAGTAATTTATAGTAAAGCCGAAATTAGCTTTTATGTCTTTGTGGTGAGATGGCTTCCAATTTTAAGAGGGAATCAGAGTGGGTTTATCAATATTTAATTGGATGTTTTGTGGAAGAGATTGTGAACTTCATCTGTTGTCTTAAGAGGGTACAACTAGGTCTGGGGTTGTGGCTCAGTGGTAGAGCGCTTGCCTCAAAATGTGTGAGGCACTGGGTTCGATTCTCAGCACTATAAATAAATGAATAAAATAAAGGTCCATCAACAATTAAAAAAATATTTTAAAAAGAGGGTACAACTAGCTTTGAGAAAAGGAAGTTGGTCTGAAGAATAACTCTTCTTCCTCCCCCCTTATTTATTCCTTTATTTAATAACTTTATTAAAAGTAGAGGTGTCTGGAGGCTGGGGTTGTAGCTCAGCAGTAGAGTGCTTACCAAGCATGTGTGAAGCACTGGGTTCGATCCTCTGCACACATAAAAATAAATAAGTGAAATAAAGGTATTGTTTCCATCTACCAAAAAAAAAAAAAAAAGTAAAGGTGTATAGGCCAGGTGCAAGGTGCCTCTGGAATTTACTGAGACCCTCAGCAACTTAGCAAAACCCTGTCTCAAAATAAAAAGGGTTGTGTGGGAAGCCATTCTAGCACATGATTGGACACCTCCCGGATTGGGTGTGAGGCGCTCTGACTAAACTGTGTCGGAGCTTTCCCCACCCTCTCCTGGTGCGAGAGCCTGTCCAAGTGGGGGTGTGACTGACCACTGACCCTGAGGCCAATCACTGACCCTGACCTTGGAGTGCTGCCCCCCTCGACCTTCATTGGATGGAATTTTCCCCTGAATTTCTTGTTCCCCAATAAAAAGCCACTCCCTGGCGTGCTCTGCCTCTCTCCTGCTAGCCCTGAGTAAGCCTTGCTGCCCTACCGGGTGGTTCGAGGTGTGAACCAGAGAGGTGAGAGCTGTCTCGGACCTGGTCATAGAAAAAGGTAATTGAGTCTGTGTGTTTTATTTTGATCTCACTAGCTAACTTTTATGCCAAGAACCTCTTTAATAAAACCAGTGCGCTGGTCGCATGGTGGAATGGGTTGGGGATGTAGCTCAGTGGTAAAGTGTCGAGGGCTCAATCCCCACCCAGTATCTAAAATAAAACAAAATACAAACAAACAAAACACCCCAAAACCAAAAACAAATGAACAGGGCTGGGGATATAGCTCAGTTGGTAGACTGCTTGCCCGGCATGCACAAGGCCCTGGGTTCAATGCCCAGCACCATAAAAACAAAAACAAAAAACAGGTGTTTAACAGACACATATTGACCTAGTTGCTCTATCATTTATTCACAGTACTCATTTCCTCTCCTGAAATTGGAAAACAAGATATTTTAAATGTAAATTTCCTGTAGGGTCCTCAAGGTGCTCTCACTTTTTCTCTCATCTTAACTAAGAAATACCAAGTGCTTTGATGGCTCTGTGACCTGATCAGCTGCATGCTTTCCCCTGAAGGCTTGAACCCAAGCCAGGGCCTTCAGCATTCCCAGGCACAAGTAAAGGTATTTAGGTTGTTGCCCAAAACACTGAAAGAAACTAGCCCAGAATCTAAGCCAAATTCCTTAACCTCTCATATAAACTCCATACCCTGATTTCCTTGTTATGAACATATATAGGTAGAACATCTTTCTCTTGCAGTTTGTAATTAGGTTAGGACACTGCTGCCCACTCAGTAGTTACCTTCCTCTAATAAATGCCTTGGATTGATCACTCTGGCACCTAGTGCTTTCAATAAAACCAACCTAATTTGTAAAGATTTGGGGTACTCCCTTGTGGAAATCCCACTGCATTTGGAGGGCAACTTCAGCCTTTCATTCAGCCAAGAAGAAATATTTCCCATTTGTAACTTGCTATTCCCTGCCCTCCTTCCAGGGCAATTCTTGTGCCTAGAAGAAAGGGCTGGAAGTATGTTGAATGAGGATTAATTAGTAAATCACCCGTTTTGCCAAGGCGGGGGGAAAACAACAACAACCCAGAAACAAAAAAAACAGGAGTCCCAGATGGCGGTAAGGGCTAAACATTTATGACAGCACTCGCAAATTCATATTTCTAGACTTCTAGGGAAATAGCTACTTGAAAATCTTTTTTTTTTGGTACCAGGGATTGAACCCAGGGGCTCACTAAGTTGCCAAGACTGGCTTTGAATTGTGATCTTCCTGCCTCAGGCTCCTGAGTCACTGGGATTACAGGCATGCACTATCCCATCTGACTCTCACACTTGATCTATCTATAGATAACATATATAGATAGATATAGATATATTTACATTTATATGGTACTGAGGATCGAACCCAGTGCTTCACATGTGCGAGGCAAGCGCTCTACCGCTGAGATATAACCCCAGCCCCTCACACTTGCTTTTTAATTGAGGAGTAGTTGTACATCTGTCCCCAACCCAAATAAGGAAGCTTCAGACCACACTGCCTCCTGCATATCCTGTTGGCATACGCTGATTGCCTGAGCCATGCCCCAAGGCTAGGTTAGATCACTGAGATCCTTGAGGACCAAGCAGTGAGTACAGCTCCTCATTAAATACAATGACAGCAGAAGTCGGCAACTAGTGTTAGAATCCTAGCTCTGTCTCTGGCGTTGTGAGATTTGGCCAACCAGCCCTCGTTTGGAATTCCGGCCCGGCCCTACCCCTCCTCTCCACTTCGCCCCGCCCTCACTTCGTCCCTCCACCCACGCTCTGCGCTGCGGCTGCGCAGTTGGTGCCATTTTTCTCCGTACGGCCGTGTGTAGCTGTTTTGAGATTAGTGAGCTCCTTGTGGATATCCCCCAGCTCTACCATGTGGACCCGACAGCCCCGCCGCCCTGGGTTGATGGCCTGCGGGGTGGAAGAGCTACGGCGCCGCCGGCGGGAGCGGGAGGCAGGTGTGGGCGGGCGAGGCAGCACTGATGTGAGGGTGGCGCTTGGAGATGGGGGGAGGCGATCCTCCTCTCCGACCCGCGGGTTCTGGGTCCACGTCGCCTCTCACCCACTGAGCCGATTCTGTTCCCAGCACTGCGGAAGGCGCGGAGGGAGCAGCAACTGGTCAGCAAGAGACTGCTGAGAGAGGACGACCCGGAGGAAGCCGGAGGGGAATCTTCGGCCGCGGTTCTGGGAGAAGCCAAGGTGAGCGGGCCAGGCAGGACTGGGTTCGCGCTATAGTCCATTCCTGCGGACACCAAGCCTCACTAGTATTTGAAGTGTGTCTGCCTCCTACCTGAACGCGATCCACTCTACGTCTCCATCTAGTGGGTCGAACCAGCAATAGGGGCATCATCCTCCACAATAAATTGTCCCTTCTCTCTACATCATCCCATTGTCAAGTCCTGACCGTTTTTTACCTCTTAACAATTTTTTACATACTTCGCCATCGTATTTGTCACCACCATCTCTGGATATTACAGCACCCTCCTAAAAGCTTCTACATTTGCCACTCGCAGTAGGTCTTTTAAAAACACAATAGACCAAAATCCTTCCTGTGACCTGCAAAGCCCATCATGGTGTCACCTCTGCCTATCTCCAGCCTGTATTAGCTTACTCATCCCAACCACTGCCCCCTTTTCGTTTCCTGGAATAATATGCCAATTCCTTTCCTGTTTCAAGGACTTTGTATCTGTAATATCTAAAATGGATCTCTTTTGGCATTGGTATTTTGGCAACCTGTTTGTTTTTTGCAGAATATTAATCGTATTATCTAATTTGCTTGCTTATTGACTCTCCAACTAGACTCTAAATTCACAAAATCCTCCTATCTTATTTGCCATCATTGAAAACCCAGATGGCAGACAAGTGCGATTGCATGCCTGTAATCCCAGTGATTTAGGAGGCTGAGGTAGGAGGATCATAAATTCAAGGCAAGCCTTGGCAACTTAGACCTTGTCTCAAAAATAAATAATAAGGGCTGGGGATGTAGCTTAGTAGTAGAGTGGCTCTAGCTTCAATCCCTGGTACTGGAGGGAAGAAAAAGAAAAAAATCAAATGGTTGCACAGTATATGAAATACAGTAAATGTTCAGTATTTATTGAATGAATAAATGAAATTACATTCAGCAAGCTCTGGGGTATGCCTTGTATTTGTATTGTGCATGCTTTCATATAATAGTTTACCAAGCACTTAACACCTAGCCTATACTGCTTATTCATTGTGTGCTTACTTTATGCCAGGACAATGTGGCGGGCATTGAGGTACACAAAGATGAAAAGTTATTTTCTTTGAAGGGGCTTACAGACCAATGAAGGAAGGAGACAGTTGTGATATGATACCACCTATCATAATGGAAGGAAACATGAGGTTCAAGAGAAACCCTTTTTTTTTTTTTTGGTGGTGCTGGGGTTTGAACCCAGGGCCTTGTGCATGGAGGCAAGTATTCTACCAACTGAACCATATCTCTAGCTCTATTTTGTATTTTACTTAGAGACAGAGTTTCACTGAGTTGCGTAGCCACTCACTGTTGCTGAGGCTGGCTTTGAACTTGCAATTCTCCTATCTCAGCTTCCAGAGCCATTGGAATTATAGGCGTGTGCCACTGTGCCTGGCAAGAGAAACTCTTTAGTCTATTGAAGGAAGACTAGAGGGACTGGTCATGCAAAAGCTTGGAAGCATTAAAACAAATCACATCATGCCAGGTATTGCTGGAGTGTAGGTTACATGGGGAGAATGGCTGAAGGAGTAGGTTTTGCCAGGCTGAGGAGTTTAAATGTTACCTTTGAAATAACCTTTTAAAAAGGCAGAGTAGATACTGTCATTCTCATTTTCATGTGAGGAAACTGGGATTCAGGTCCCTTATAGGGTATGTTGTAGGGCGGGTATTCGTACTCGCTCTTAATTCCCAACCTGTGTGCTCCCTTGCAAGATTTAGCTATATTAGTATTCATGACAAGTTTTAGGGATGGTGGTGTGATATTGAAGGCCTCCCAGGTGAATTGGGTAGAGAGGATCTCAGAACTTGCTTCTTGGCTGTTGTGTGTTCTGTCTTTGTTCTGGGCTTCAGGTCCAGGAGTTCTTGCGGCTAGCCCAGCGGGGTACAGAGGAAAAGGAGAGAGAGAAGGCTCTGGTCAGTCTTCGTCGAGGCTTGCAGCACCCTGAGACACAGCAAATTTTCATCAGGTCTGTGTGGATGATATGGGTCAGCTGGGGCTCTGAGGGGACAGTGTAAAGGGAATGGAGCACATGATTAACAGGTCTCTGGTGTTCATTCATGTAGGCTGGAGGGCAGCATGCGGACCTTGGTTGGGCTCCTGACCAGCAACAGAGCCCTGTTGCAGCTTGAGGCAGCTCGGTGCCTGCATGAGCTTTCTCATTCTGAGCAGTCTGTGGTGGCTGAGGCCTGCCTGCCAGCTACTTCCTACCTCCTCACCTACCTTTCTGGTCACAGCTCAGATTTCATAGTAAGCCCTGTACCCTCCTACCTTGCTCTGAGCTTAGAATTTAAAATTGTGATTTTGGGGCTGGGCATGGTGGCACATACTTGTAATCCCAGCAACTCAGGAGGATTGCAGGTTCAAGGCCAGCCTTATCAACATAGTAAGGTCCTAAGCAACTTAGTGAGACCCTGTCTCAAAATAGAAGATAAAAAGGGGGCTGGGGATGTGGCTTAGTGGTTCAGTGTGGCAAGTTCAATCCCTGGTTCCAAAACCAAACCAATTGGTTCCAATTCAAGCTATATGTAAGGGCAAGGAAAACAAACAAACAAAAAGCCCCCTGCTTCCCCTGATGCTATAGCAATGTGTATACCCATCATTTAGCTACCCTCTTATAAGCTTCAAGGACCAGACTGTTCCATCTTTCTTATCCCATCTCTGTTGTGGCATGAGATGAATGCAGCCCTTGTTTTTGTTTCCTGCTCTCAGGAGCTCTGTTTGTATACACTGGGGAATCTGATCGTGGAGAGTGAGGTTGTGAGACAGCAGCTCCTGCCACAGGGCATTGTTTCAGCCTTGGCTGCCTGCATCCAGGTGAGTGCCTTTTTTTTCTTCCCTGGGCAAACCTATCACTCCTCTTTGCATGCTCCACTGGCTTTGATTGGGTAGCTCTAGTCTCTGCTCTGTCAAGGGGCTGAGTCTTAGGAGACCTTATGACCCAGCTTCCAGAGACAGATTTTACTGTCTACTTCTAGTCCCCTCATGTGGCTGTGCTGGAAGCCCTTGGATATGCCTTGTCCCAGCTTCTGCAGGCTAAGGAAGCTCCAGAGAAGATCATTCCGTAAGTAAAATTATTTCTCCACATGTGCAGCCAAGGTTGATGTTCTTGGTAGCATAGCCCATGGATACCTGATCAGATCTGATTTCCAAAGCTGTTGAACGTTTTAACTCTGTATGTCTGACTAGGAAGAGCCTTGGGTTTGGACACTTTGCCTCTTGCTAAAAGGATTTGGGAGGAACCATTGACATCTTCATGGTTCCTACTCACAGCTCTTCTGTTGGCAGCTCTATCCTGGACTCCCTCCTCCCCCAGCACATGCTGCGATTGATGCAACCTGGCCCCAAACTGAACCCTGGGGTTGCTGTGGAGTTTGCTTGGTGCCTTCACTACATCATCTGTAGGTAACATAGGCCAGTTGGGAAAATTGCAGAACTCCAGGGAAAGGGCTTCCTTCCATGACACTTAGGCCTTTGAATTTTAGGTTTTTGGAATTGCTGTAGTGAGTTTTCATCCTTTTTGGGGTCCTCTCTTTGGCCCAGGAGACCCACAGACTTAGGCTGTTTCCCAGCTTAAAGGTGGGATTACCTAGATAGTGACTGCTTGTTTTTTGTTGCAAAGTCAGGTCAATAATGCTCTGCTCATCACCCATGGGGCTCTGTCTACTCTGGGGCTACTGCTGTTGGACTTGGCGGGGGCTGTCCAGAAAACGGAGGAGGCAGGACTGGAGCTGGTAAGTTAAAAGAACAGGTAGTGGGCTGGGGCTCAGTGGTAGAGCACTTGCCTAGCATGTGCAAGGCCCTATGTTATATCCCCAGCACTACAAACAAGCAAACAAACAAACAACAAAAAAACAGAACAGCCTGGTAGACATCTTTTCTAGATGAAGATATTCTTCTCTTCTGGTGTTCAGATAACCCCTTCTTTCTCACACCTAACCCTCATCTTGTCTTTGCAGCTCGCATGCCCTGTGCTCCGGTGTCTAAGCAACCTGCTGACAGAGGTGGCAGTAGAGGCTGTGGGAGGGCAAATGCAACTCAAAGATGAACGTATCGTGGCAGCCTTATTTATCCTCTTCCAGTTCTTCCTTCAGAAACAGCCCAGCCTGCTTCCAGAGGGCCTCTGGCTACTCAATAATCTCACTGGTATGCACCACAATCTTCCCAGACCTGAAACTTCATTTTTTGTGGTATTGGAGATAGAACTCAGGGCCTTGCACATGCTAGACAAGCACTTTACTGTTAAGCTACATCCCCAGTCCTTATTTTATATTTAAGATTTATTCAAGTTTTAAAATTTATTTTAAAATTTTACTTTTCATTTATTCTACCATTACCAAAATGTTTATTAAAACCAATGCACAGCTGGGCATGGTGGCGCAGGCCTGTAATCCCAGTGGCTCAGGAGGCTGAGTCAGGAGGATCACAGGTTCAAAGCCAGCCTCAGCAAAAATGAGGCACTAAGCAACTCAGCGAGACCCTGTCTCTAAATAAAATACAAAATAGGGCTGGGGATGTGGCTCAGCGGTCGAGTGCCCCTGAGTTCAGTCCCTAGTACAAAAAAGAAAGGAAGAAAGAAACTCACTAAAGCAGGAGGATTGAAAGTTCAAATCCAGCTTCAGCAACTTAGACCCTGTCTCACAATAAAAAAGGCTGGGGATGTGGCTCAGTGGCTAAGCACCCCTGGGTTTAATCTCTGGTACCAAAAAACAAACAACCAAAGCAGGAGAGAACAGAGCTGTTAGGAAACAAATGCTGACTAGAGGATGGGGGAGAGCACTTCTAAAACCATAACAGGGGCCCTGCATTCTGGGCTGGGAGATGCCCTTCACTTATCCCTCCTGCCGACCATTAGTGAAGATCTGCACTTAACCTCTCCCACTTTATACTTATCTTTTGACGGGCAGGTGGCCCTGAAATGACTTCCTGGAGAGGAACCCTTTATCTACTATGGCTGTCAGGCACTTTTCCTTTCCAGTTGCCCCAGTTCCTTCATGGTGGGTTGAAAGAATAGCTCAGGGATCCCTGTCCTTGCTTGTGGGTATAGGGAAGTAAGGTATCAGCCTTATACTCTTCCTGCCCTTGGCTTGTTCCCCAGGCTTACCAAAGAGGCCTCAATAAGTAAATACGGCTCCGCTAAGGCTTCAGTCAGAAACATTTTTAAGACAGAAGCACTCTTATTGTCCTTCAAACCCAGCCAGGCCTCTGCCTGACCTAGTCGGTACACAGGATTCTGGGGATAAGTGATCACACTGGGTCTCATGAGCAAGGAGACTAGAAGTGCAGTTAAAACCCTCTGCCATGGGCACACATGGACTCAAACACACATGGGGACAGAATGGGTATATCTGCAGTACACACAGATGTGCTCACATTAATTCCCTACTATGCGCTCCCGGGCTTAAACACCATACTCACTCTAAGTACACATCTATGGGGTGTTGGATGTACATACAAACACATCACAAATATGGAATCCTTTTCCTGACTTAATCCCCTGGTGATAGCCAGACCCCAGAGCCAGAAGCTACTGTACTATAGGATATAGAGGTATAAATTAAACTTCCAGTCAGGCCAGGAGAAGGGGACTCCAAGGATGATGATAGGGTAGGGATCTCTATGAGACTCTGGCTTCCCTAAGCCTTTTCAGAAATCCAGGAGCTCAGGTCCCCAAAATCATAGTCAGGTCTCTGAAATCCTTGCCTTCCTAGGGAGATGAGAATGGTAATTAAGGGCCTTGTGAAGAGGGGCAAAGGCTGTTGAACTCAGGAAGTCAAGTTCCTGCACATGCCCCAGGACTGAGATGGCATCAGGGGCAGGTATTCCTTATCCACAGGGCCCTATAGACCATTAGTCTGGAGCAGCACTTCTTGCTCCAGACTGAGAAGGACCTGGACTTTAGCTTGGGCTATGAGGAAGTATTACCTATGTCTAAAGTGGATAGGATTTGGGGGACAGTGGTTCAGGCCCAAATTTAAGGTACTTCATACTGACTTTTTCCCTTACAGCAAACAGTCCTACTTTGTGTACCTCCTTGCTTTCCTTGGATCTGATTGAGCCCCTCTTGCAGCTGTTGCCACTATCTAATGTGGTTAGTGTACTGGTATGTATTTGGGTCACGAGTCTAGGACCTCCTTGTCAAAGTGTAAACAAAAACAGTCCTGAACCCTCAGAATAGTTAGCTGAGAGCTAGCAGGTGGTGTGGTATAATTTCAGAGGTAGACCAGTTTAGGCGAGTTCCTAAATTGGATTAGTGCACTTTCCTACCTTAAGCTTCAGTCTCACTTAAAATGGGGATTACAATACATGTATATGAAAGAACCAGGCAGTGTCTAGGTGTGTGGTCAGCACTACATGTATTCTCTCTAAAATCTTTGGTTTTCATCTTTTTGGGGACTGTATACATGTCTCTCCACAGGTACTCACAGTTCTTTGCAATGTTGCAGAGAAGGGTCCAGCTTACTGCCGGCAGCTGTGGCCAGGACCCCTGCTTCCCTGCTTGCTGAACATGTTGGCCCTCTCTGATACTGAAGTAGTAGGCCAGAGTTTGGAGCTGCTACAGCTGCTATTCCTGTATCGTCCAGAGGTAGATTTCTGGCCCTGCTATTCTCCCCAGCTCAGACACCTCTGGTCTCACCATACTTCCTTTACCTTATAGTCCTAACTATAGTTGCTTCTCTAGACTAGACTGGGCTAGCCTAGCCTATTGTGGGCTGCAGGTTAGAACTCATCATCTTGTTGGCAATGCACCCTCTTCCATGAAGTGGAACCCATGAGGTTGTGGGAATTGAGTTTTAGGGCATGGGGACTCAAGTATTTAATTATTATTTTTTTCTCTGCCCCCAGGCTGTCCAGGCCTTCCTGCAGCAATCAGGACTGCAGGCTCTGGAAAGACATCAGGAGGAGGTCCAGCTTCAGGATCGGGTGCATGCCCTCCAGCAGATAGCTCTTCGTGGCTGACCTGGTTTCTCAATGTCACACATTATCCTGCCTCCCAAGCTTCTTTTAGGGGTAAACAATGGCGTCTTTGGGATATTAGAACCATCATGAGGTCTCATTCTCTTTGCTCCTGCACTTAAGCCAACACCTTTGGAGCCCAGTTGCTCCGATTTTTACCCAGCATGGCCCAGAGGGGACTCTGTGGCTCATTTATTCTGGAGGCCTTGGATCACCCCTCCCCCATCCCCTACAGTCCCCCCTTTGGGATGGGGTCTTACTGTGTTGCCCACACTGGTTTCATACTCCCAAATGCTCCTCTTGCCTCACCCAAGTAGTTGGATGACAGGTGTCGGCCACTGCACCTGGCTCAGCTGGTGGCTTTTGATAAGAATAAAGCTTTATTTTTGTATTAAACTACCTTGTCTCAGTGATTGTACAATAAGGGGTATAGGGTAAAATAAAGAACATTCTGAGGCAGCATTTTACAGCACAAGCTTTATAAGGAACAGGGGAACACATTTTTCCATATTGTATTCAGTCCAACAGAGCTCAGATTCTGGGTCTCTTGCACATACACTTCTGTGGAGACTTCAAGCTTTGCCACTTAGCACATTCTCCAGGGTTCTGGTTACCTGATCAACATTGAAGTTGTTCAAAGAGACATTCTTCTCTTGCCCAAATGCTGAGGGGAAGAGAAAAAGAGGTGGAGAGGTAATTAGCATGTACTGTGCAGAGTGGGACTACCAAATTGTATGTATAGAATTAATCCAGTGAACTTCTGGCATAATATATGGCACAATGCATTTAAGTTACTTATGTTTGCCTCTCCTTTTAGTCCATTGCTTTAGCAAGATATAATTAACAGCTGTGATTAAAATGCCACTGTTTGGTAATATAAATATTTACTGCATGCTTATTGGGTGTCAGACAACATGGTAAGAAATTTTTGGACTGTAATAAATTGGAATAAGGTAGTATGACTAAAAGGGACTGAGGCAATGTTACATAACTGGTCAGGGAATGCACTTTTGAGGGGGGTAATATATATTCAGACTTGCAATAACAACAACCTGGATAGTAACAAAAAAGCCATGGAAGTCCAGGAGAGGTGCATTCTAGAAAAAGGGTGTGTGTTGGGGGGAATACAAAGGCTCAGCCCTGTTATACATTAGCTGGATAACTTTAGGTATATTCTATAAAGTTTTGATTCAGTCTTCTAATTTCTACAATGAGAAAAGAATCAACACCCTCAAATGATTAATGAAGATTAAATGAGTTAAGCAGGTAAGCACTCAGGACAGCCTTTAAAACTAAGTGCTCCACGTTACTGAGATTTTACACCCTATCGAACTGGCCACAAGTAATTGGGAAGAACCTACGCTGAGGCGAACTAACTAGCAATTCTGTTTTTTTTTGTGGGGGTACCAGGGATTGAACTTGGGGGTACTCGACCACTGAGTCACATCCCCAGCCCTACTTTGTATTTTATTTAGAGACAGGGTCTCACTGAGTTGCTTAGCTCTTCGCCATTGTTGAGGCTAGCCTCCAGAGCCGCTGGGATTACAGGCGCGTCTTCAAATCAAGCCCATTCTATAAAACTCCCGGTCCCTAGGCGGGGGCCGGCTACCCCTATAGACATGCTGCCCGAGATACAAAGCGTTATATAACCCCACAAATGTTAATTTCTTCAATGGCAACAGCAGCCTCAAGTTGGAATTCTACCCTCTCCACATGTTTTTGTGTGACCTTGGACAGCCCCTCTTCTCGAACCTGTTCCTCCACACGGGTCCCATATTCCCAGCGACCGTACTCACCGTAGCGGGCCCAGAGCTTGGGCTGCACATCAGAGCATTCCCGGATTAGAATGGGCAGATCGGGGTTCGCCTTCTTCAGTTCCACGTAGCGTTTCTCGATGAAGTCCCTACGGGGCCGAAGAGAGCGCCGCGCGTGCTGTGGGCACGGGCTTCCCCAAACACCCGGGAGGTCGAGGTCGTGACCCCGGCGTCCCGGAGCCCTCCCGCCTCGCCACGCTGCGCCTCACCTGACGCCTTGGCTGCCGGGCGAGCGCTGGCATAAGTGGATGCGAATCTCACGCAGGCCCAACTTTGCCCCCGCTGCTCGACCGGCTGCGGCCGCTGCCATCTTAACTAGTACTCAAGCTCCCAGTCTCAGGCCTTCCAGCCAAGTTCTCCAGTCGGACCAATAGCGGACACACAGCCTACGCCATTGATTGGATGACGCGAGGAGGCGGGGTAAGCTTTAGCCAATGCCAAAAAAGCCTTGTAGACTGCACTCTGCGCGCGGGCGGCGAGAGGTGCGAGAGGGAGGAAACGGAAGAGCTGGGAACGCAAAGCACTGTGGTCGACTTCCGGGGTGTACTGTGGGAAGAGGCCTGTGGCTCCTGTTTTGTTGTCCGTTTGGTTCTTGGGAACTCGGCACTTGCTGGCGTTGAAAGACCGCGGACGAAATGCCAGAGCGAGATAGTAAGGATGTGGCCATCTGCTCTTTCTTTCCCGCGCCACTAGGTGCACTTGGCGCGTCATTTTGGCTATTAAGCTTAAGTCGGGAGACGCCGGTGGGCCCCAAGAGAGGCCAGGCAGCTTCAGACTTCCAGACCTCTGCCTTAGCAGCGACCGGTGTCTGTTATCAGTGAATCCACCCCGCCCTCGCCCCCGTCACCTCCTTACTTAACTCGACTAGTGGGTTGCAGAGATTCTGCTTTCTCTTAGGGTTTTTTTTTTTTTTTTTAAGTTGTGTGTCTCGCTGTATCGTTTAGGTTACTCTTAAAACTCTTGATCCTCCTGCTTTAGTCTCCAAGTAGCACGGAGAACAGGAGTGCCCCAGATCTTTCATGAATTTTAGATGTGCTCTTTGGGAAAGTCTAATCCTCCAGAGCAGGTTTAGGAGCCTTCCTTTGCTCTCATAGCTCCTTGTATTTTCCTATTTCAGCACTTATTACATTGTATTATCACTGTCATTCTTGCTTTCTGTATTGTTCACTGCTCTAATTTCCAGTTTTTGCACAGGACCTGATGTACAAGAGACTGATTAATGTCAATTATTTTTGTTAGGTGAGCCGTTCTCCAACCCTTTGGCCCCAGATGGCCATGATGTGGATGATCCTCACTCCTTCCACCAGTGAGTATTTTGCCCTAGGAACATGGAAACAGTTATCAGTGACTAAGAGTGGTGATGGTGATGGTGAAAGAATTGTAAATATCTTGTCAGCAAGGATGGTCAAAAAAATTGCATAACTTGGCCCATTATCTCTGTGAACCTTGACTGTATCAGGCCCACTGAATAAGAGTATTAGAGTTAAATTTTGTCAGGAAAGTTTCTAGTTTTTGAAATATGTTGTTTTATTATACATTATATAGGAATTAATTCTCCTGTACAGAATTAGAAGATTGGAAATAAGGGTAAAGTTGTCTTTAATAATCTCACAAATTTCAGCCCATTTCTTAGAGATAACAACTGTTCACTTTTTTATGTGTATCTTTTCCTCCTATTCTTTTTAAATATACTTGTACATACATTTAAATACCTGAGGAAAATTTATCATTGTTTTGCTAGTTAAAATATTTAAATGGTAGTGTACTGCAGCTATCATTTTGCTATTTTTTATTAAAACATCACTTAATATCTTGGAGATTATTTTCACAACGGTGATAAGGATTTCCTCCTTGACTAAACTTTAGTCAAGTTCCAAGAGTCCTATTTAAAAAAAATTTTTTTTTAAGATGTTGTTGGACCTTTTATTTATTTATTTACATGTGGTGCTGAGAATCGAACCCAGTGCCTTGCACATGCTAAGCAAGAACTCTACCACTGAACCATAACCCCAGCCTCTCCAAGAGTTCTAATGTGACTAAACCTTTTCCTTGGCTTGATTTTAGCAAAGAATTAAGTCCTTCCCTCCACCATACCATACGAACAATTTTCCCAGCTTGTTCTTGAGCTTGTTATTGTCCTATCTCAGCTTAGACTCTGGAGTCTCATCATATTACTGTCATCATGATTATTATTTATGTGATATTAAACTTTTTGGACCTGTTACTCTCCTTTTCTGCTCTTCTAAGGTGGACCAGCAAGGTTTATTAGTAATTTTCTATAAATCCCTACTCTTGTATTAGAGTTGAAGAATGCAGTCAGTAGGAGAAGGAAAGGCCTAATCAGAAGAGGACTCAAAGGAGTCTATCTTTAGTTTGGTTAAGAGAGAATTCTTGTCAGTATGCCCGTTAAATGATCGCTTATACTGTCATTGCTGTATGTCCCACATTTGAGAAACACTATCACAATTTATTTAGTTACTCTCCAGTTGATGGACATTTAGGTTGTTTCCAACCTCGTGATATTTTCAATTGAACCTCTTTTCTTTTTTTTTGGTACTGGGGATTGAACTCAGGGGCACCTGACCACTGAGTTACACATTCCCAGCCCTATTTTGTATTTTATTTAGAGACAGAGTCTCACTGAGTTGCTTAGCACCTTGCTTTTGCTGAGGCTGGCTTTGAACTCGTGCTCGTGATCCTTCTCTCTCAGCCTCCTGTGCTGCTGGGATTACAGGCGTGCACCATCACGCCTGGTAATTGAACTACTTTTTATAGGCTTTCTTATGTACATATGACTCATTGGCTGGGCTAAATATAGAAAAATGAGAGTTGCTGATTCATATGATCCTTATATTTAAATTTTAATAAATACTACCAAATTACCTTCCAAATTGATTATACTGATTCATGTTCCTGTCATTCATGTTCTCAAATTCTCAAATTCCCACTTCCCAAGTTCTCACTCATACTTGATTTATCAAATTTTTTAGAAGTCAACCCTAATGTGTTGAAAGTGGCATGTCTTTGTTTTAGTTCATATTTCCCTGTTTTTTAGTAAAGCTAATTTTTTTTTCATGTTCCTTTTACATTTATTATTGGGTGCTATTTTTAAAAAATTTGCCTGTTCTTTTAGATCAAAACTCACCAATGAAGACTTCAGGAAACTTCTTATGACCCCAAGGGCTGCACCTACTTCTGCACCACCTTCTAAATCTCGTCACCATGAGTAAGTCTTCAAGTGATCCAGTTTTTCTTCCATTTCCTTCCTATCCCTTTCTATTGATCCAGAATATCCTGGGAGCTGGAAAGCTAATCCTTTTTTAAAGCCTGAGGTTCTGATTTTCTCCTTGAGAAGATTGAAGCTCCAATGATGATGGGGATGTTCAGGGTATATTCCATGGACAACTTACATTAATGAGTCATTATAGTTGCAAATATATGTTTCTGGGTCTGTTCCAGCCCACAGATTCAGACTTTTTGGGGGGTATACTTGAGACTATATAATTTTCATAGTACTCCAGATCTTCTTGATGCTTTTTAAAATTTGAGAACTGTTTACGTATAAGTATTAATGTGGATTTC